TCCTGCTGGCGGTTGTGTTTGCTGGTTTGGGACATGGATGGTATGGAGATCCCAAAACTGGAGACACTGAAAACTGGGGCAGCTTGAAGGCTGCCCTCTTCACGCTCTTCAGTTTAATAACCGAAAGTACAGCAGCCTTTTCCAGTCTGTCTCAGCCACGTGACAAACTGCAGATTATGAAGTGCTGCTGAAGAAGCCCTTTGATCAACCTGTGACTTTATTAGGGAGAGCATAAACTGCTCGGTAGTGAACTCATATTCCACATCCCTGGGAAAATTTGCTTTGATAGACAAACTTCCCTACCCAATATTGCAAATTCAGAGGGGGAAATCTCTGAAGCTGATAGCAAGGAGATCTGTACTAGCTGATTTAAACCTGGAGCTCTGAGGAACAGAGGAACTGTGCTCAGTGTTAAAAAAGAAAGAAAAAGAAGACGAAGATTTCATACAGCTTGTGAGTTATGCTGTGGTTTGGAACTAACTCTCTGGTCTGCTTAAATACATTTGCAGGTTGATGGTTGGACAGACTTACAGTGCGAGATGGATCATTATGGGTTTACAAGCAGCCACGTGTTCATAGTTGTGTTCATCTTGTTGGGCAACTTCATCTTCTTCAATATGTTGATTGCACTTGTGATTACCAAAACCCAGGTCATGCGAGCTGTGTGCATTGAGTGTGCATGCGTGTGCGAGTGCGTGTGGCTGTGTGTGAGTGTGGGTGGGTGTGAGTGTGTGTGCTACCAGCTAACAGGCTCTGGTTGGAAAGCTGGTGCTTGGCAGCTTGCAGGAGTTGGCTTCTGGTGCAGCTAGAAACATTTTGGATACAGAAGTCCCCAGTCCCTGAGCAGAATAAGAGTATCTCTCCCCACGATCCCCCTTTTGGGTCTTCTCTACACTCCCGCTTTGACTATTTTTCCATAGCTGCTGCAAGCTCCTGTTCCTCCATCACAGCCAGCCCCCAGGTCCCCTGGGTGCACACTTTGCACCCACATCCCCTCAGCCACGACCTTTTTCTGCTTCCATTTAACCCAGGGCTGCTCTTGTGATGTTGTAGCTGCCTCTGACCTCTCCACAACGAACCCCTGCGTGGAGCCGGGGCCAGGATCAGCGGGGTGGGCTGGGGGAATATGGCAAATCCTATGCGAGAGGCATCCGCTCCCCAGCAGCTATCGGCTGCCAGCCCCGAGGTGGTCCTGCTTAACACCTCTCGCTGCTGCACAGGGCAGATTTGAAGCCCAAATCTTCTTGACCGATGTCTTGACCCACCAGCTGTGAGCGGTGCTTGGGGACTCACTCGCAACCCTGCGGTTTGGCATTGGCAGGACTTGACTCAGAAGTACGAACAGGACTGCAAAGCAGTGAAGAAGGCTGCTGTTTGGGCCAAGAAACAGAAGATCCTGAAAAAACAGGGGAAGAATGTGAACGACCTAGTCACGCTCTAGCAGGTGGGTGGATAGCACTATCTGCGAATGTCAGATGCTGTTTAACAGGGAAAGGCATGGATGAACCGCTTTCAGCAGAGGAAAAATTTGCTTCTCTTTCCTTGCCCGTTTTGGTAATAATCCAGGCTGTAGATCCCAGATGCCTTTTTGGTAGGCTCATCACATATGCAGCTAGAAGTATTATGATGGCACATAGTGGTTAAAGTATTATAAAGGTGGAGAAAAATTCTTAATTGGTTTTGGTGTCTTTTGTCCGAGTTTGTTTAACTTCAAAGAGAAGTTTAAAAAGAAATCCTTTTAGGTCACGTCAAGCCAAGAGCCCTGTCCAGAAACGACTTGGACTCGCTTTCTGCGAGTGCTCGAGGGAGGTCGTGCTCCTTCCCGCGCTCCCGCAGCCCATTGATGCGATGGATCCAAAATGCTACTGTGGGCTTGAAACACGTGCTGCAGCGTCTGTAGGAGAGCTGTGCACTGCTTGATAAAGGGCCTTTGCAAAGCCGACTTGAAATAAATGCAGTAAAACTGTCACTGAAACGTAAATGATTAGAGCAACCTGACTCGCTGTTTCCCCCAACTCTTCTGCTCATTCTTGCTTTTAGAAAATGTAATTTAAAAATAATCAGTTCAGGATGGCTTGGTTGAGAGTGTTCTTGCCTTTGGGCCAGAAAATCACTGGTTCGAGTACTAGACTGAGTGACCGATTTGCGTGAGTGGTTTCGGTCCCATCCCAGGGGCAGGGGTGGGGGGGTCCTGCAGAGCTGCAGGGCCTGCCTGGGTGGGCGCTGAGGAGACCCTGGGCTGCTCCCTTGGGACAGGCATCCCCATCCCATCAGCACCCAGGAGCTCCTGCACCCCCTGGCACATCTGGCTGCTCCAAAAGTGCATTGGGGTGGGGGGTCACAGACAACCCCATTTCCAGCCTGCACCCAGTGTGAAGCCGTGTAGGGGTCTGCAGGGTGACAGTCCCAAGTGTCACCTCCTGCTCGCTAACAGCGTTTTCTTCCTGGGCTTGTTCTTCACAGCACAAAATCACTCAGGTGAAGATTTCGGAGAGCCGCTGGATGACATCAAAAAGACTTTGTGCCACTCTGATATCATCATTATGGAGAGCTTTTACTTCACCATCCCATTTATTGATCTGTATTTGCCGTTCCTGGACCTCTGGGATGACACATTGAACAGGTCAGTAACAGTGGAGCAGGTGACTGCAAGAAAGACTCCAAGTTACAAAAACAGATGCCCTTTTGATGTACTGGATTATTTTCTTGGAACAAGAGGACATTTGGAAGCTGTTCTCCCTAAGGAAAATGCTACTGGTCTCAGCATGAGCAGCGCTGAGAGTCTGGGAAGGTACCAACATATGGCACGTACTAGAAATGGGACTGGTTTTGTCCCTGTCGGGAGGACTGATGCCTTTTCCCACCACCATGTAGTGCCAGTGTGGGATCGGTGTCCATCACAAATGTGCTCAATTTCCTGCTGGAAAATTCACCCTTCATCACTGGTCTTCGTTGCACCCCAGCCCCAGCACGTCCTGGGGTTCGCAGAGCCCTGGGTGTCCCCTGGGTGCACGGCCCTGAGCAAGGCTCCGTCCTCCTGGTCTGGCTCCCGTGTTCCCAGCACGCCTGGGAGAGAGGCGAGAGCGCATCCCGGATTTATGGGGGCGGTGGGGTTGGAGGACGTGTTTGCACCCCAGTTTGGGAGGTGAGGAGGACTTGCCGCCTTCTTACGGCAGTAGTCCAGGCTGACCCGTGCTTTGCCTCAGCAATGGACTTCCCTGGATCTTGTTTAGGGAACGACTAACCCCAGGCAGTGAGTCTAAACCATGTAACCAGAAAAACCTCCCACAAATCCCCCAAATGGAGACTGCTGAGTTTTACATGTCTTAGGTTAACCTTAATGTGATAAAAGCCTATGATCACAGCTTGGTACCTATTGTTTAAAAAACCTGCGGTCTGGCCTGGAGTCCAGAAAAAATTCCCTGGATGTCAAAAATTCCCTTTTACCCAGTTCCCCAGGTGACTGCGGTTACTATCAGGAGTCTCTGTGTTATTTTCCCCCCATACTTTGAATGCACTGATCAGGACTAGTCTTTCTGAAAATGTTTTGCTGTGCTCTTGGCACACGTTGCGGAGCCCGTCCTGGGTTGCGCTTCTGCCATTCTCCTCTGATCTTTTGGTAGAAAAATATTTACAAGGATGTTAAAGAAAACCTGCAGAGCCAGGGGGCTGAACATCATGCAAAATACTTGGGATCTTTCCGTTGCTCCCTGCCCTGCCGGGTGAATGGAGGGGTGCTTGCAGAGGGCGCAGTTCTCCTTATGCCTTAGACATGGCGTTTGCTATTTTGCATGGTATTTGGGGATCTTTTTGCCACGCTTTTCTCTCACTGCAGGTTGCAACATCGCTATTACGAACGTACTGGCATATCTCTCGATCATGGAAGTCATGAAAGAAAAATTCACGAGAAGATGAAAAGTTAAAAGCTCTTTAGGGGGAACATGATCCTTGGTGGCTATCAGAGCTCTGCCTACAACCTCCTCTTCAAACCTTCGTTAAAATAAGCCAGAAACATTTATGATTAAAAAGAATTCAGAAAGTATCTGCTCTCCTTTCTTCTTGCTGACCGGGTGGAAGTGCAGCCGCCAGTTCTGGCCCTGCGCTGCAGGCAGCTGCTGATGGAGCGAGGCACGTCACCGTTGAGAGCTGGAGAAACCGTGGGCTGGGAAAGGATCGCAGCCCGGGTCCTTTTCCTGGAAACCTTGTGGCAAGGCTGGGACTAGAGCCCAGGCCTCCGGTGCTCTCCCTGCCAGCTCCCTCTTTCTAAGATCGAGCAGCCTCGGCGTAGCAAAGGGGCTGCTCCGAGTCAGCACAAACCAGCCCGCGCTAAGGAAACGGATCGTGATATCTCTGAACGGAGCAGCTCGTTTCTGTGCTCTGATGCTGATTAGCATCTTGGAATAACCCGCTTGGGTTCGTGTGGCAGTTTTAATGCAAACACACCCACACAGCTTTGGGTAATCGGAGAAGGAAAGAGGAGACCTGCGGAGCAGCAGCTGTTCCTCCGCACAGCACGGGCTGTACCAGCATGGAGGTGCAGCCCCAAAGCTCTGAACGGAGCAGCTCGTTTCTGTGCTCTGATGCTGATTAGCATCTTGGAATAACCCGCTTGGGTTCGTGTGGCAGTTTTAATGCAAACACACCCACACAGCTTTGGGTAATCGGAGAAGGAAAGAGGAGACCTGCGGAGCAGCAGCTGTTCCTCCGCACAGCACGGGCTGTACCAGCATGGAGGTGCAGCCCCAAAGCCCGGGCACGATGGCCGTGACAGCGGCGTCCCGAGGTGAGGAGGAACGAGCCACCCTGACCCCCTCCCGGTCGTGCAGGCAACGGGGATTAGCAGAGCGGGGCTGCATGGCACAGCTCCGCTTTACCCCCAACACGGTCCCCTGTTAGCATGCTACAGCAGGAACTGAGAAATGAGTTTTGGGGATGACGAAAGGAAGGAAAGTGCCTGAGGGGTGCTGGGTTTGGGGTTTGGCTCTGGATTACGCTGCTGACAGGGGGAGAGAGGAGGGTGCCTCGTGTTGGGGATGCTGGGGGTTCACGGCTGGCCCTTTGCTCCGCCGGGTCGGGAGCCTCTGACAAGCCGAACGTGAGGCTGCTGCAGGTTTTGCCTTGGATGGCACTGCTGGTATAACACCAAGTGTGGAGTTTTTCTCAGTCTCAATAGTTTTTATAGGAGCATTCCTTGTGATTCTGCATAATCGATGGGGGTTCAATATTACCAGAGCAACATCTCGAAAAGTATCTTCTTCACTACTATGCTATGGCTTCCAGCAGCAAAATAAATGCGAGCCAGACACAAACAGTATCTGAGACAGAATTATTGGCACATCCCTATGGAGAGGGGTGGGTTGATTCTGCAGGGCTCACTCTGCCACCGCCGTGGCCTTGCCTGCCTCTCACCAAACCCGCAGAGCTCATCTCTGTAGTTCTTTAACATGCGTTTTTGATACCAGCCCTGGGGCTGCTCTTTGCAGTGGGTTTGTGCCCCAAAGCCTTTGCCCGAGCCAAGGAGCCCGAGGAGGCTGAGAACTGCTAACAGGAGCTCTTTGTAAAGGGGCTAGAGAGAATCCAATGACACGAGCTCCTGCTCAGTTTGTTTTTCATGTTCTCATTTGTAATAATTTTGTGTTTTATGAGGGATACTTCCTAAAACTTCCCCAACATGATGGAAACACATGTGGTGCTATAATACATGATGTGACCCTTTTGGTGGAGAGACGAGATGAAAACCTGCTTTTCCCTGACGTGATACGGTCCAGTGAGCCGGACAATCAGCGCAGCGTGCGGTATCCGACCTTCCCCAAGCTGTGCCCACACTGTTCATCCCTCCAGAAATACTGCCTGCATATCATTCCATGCACAATCTCCAGGTGGATTTTCTTGCTAATTCATTATTTGAACTTCTTCTTCTCCTTTTTTGTTTTTCTAGGGGTAAGCCAGCTCTGTGCCCGTGCATGTCCATGTACCACCCCCGGGTGACACGGAAAGCATCGCTTGGGATTTTATCTGAAGCGCAGATTTGCTCCAGTGCTCGCTTCAAGGACAGAGCCAAACCGGGGGGAGCAAACACCGACTCTAGAAATAGTTTCTGCGGGCTTCAAAGCTAATAATGCCAAGGTTAAAGGGCCTTTGCTTATTTGAATTAGCAAATCCTTCTACAACAGTTGTGACTGAGGTATTAGCATCACTGCCTGTAGTTGGGCCACACCACCGCAGGTGTCACTGAACTGGGATAATTCCTGCTGTATTTGTGTTCGGGTGAGTGATGAGGGTCACCTTGCCCATCAGTCAGGACCACTGACATCCCCTTCCCCACAGCGGTGGGTGCAGAGGGTCCCCAAAAACACAGGGCTGGCTCTCACCAGCAGCACCCCGGCTCGGGATGCGGGCTGTTGGTAATCCTGGTTTTCATTATTTTAATGGTAAGATAAAACTTTTGTGTAGTGTGAAAAACAATCCTAAGCCTCCCTGTGTTTATAGGAAGGGCTCAGACAGGCTGAAAAAATGGTGTGCAAGGGTCGGAGATCGCAGGCCAGCAACCAGCATGAAAGGACACCGGTCATAAATGGTCTGGGGATATTTTTTTTAACTGAAAATAAAATTCTAATGCCAGGAAAGTGCCACAGTGCTGTTGGTGAGTAATTCAGGATGAATGCAGAGGCCAGCAATCACAGGCAGCAACCAAAAAAGTGGAGAGTGGTAAAATCCTCTAACCCTGCCGACGGATTTCCAGTTTCCAGCTGGAAATGGCAAAGCGGTTTCAAGTTTTTCAGTTTCCTTAAAATATTGTGGCCTTGCTTGATGACCAGAAATATTGCTGCTTTGGAGGAAGCCTCTCTGCTTCTCATTTTGGTGCAGAATTCATTCTGGAGGTATGAGCCCAGAAGCTGCAGAGGGCTGTGGGCAGCATTTTGGGTGCAAAAAGCCTCAGTGCTGGGACCGGGAGAGGACAGGCTGCAGTAATGGCACCTGGGAACTTACGGCATGTGGGCAGAGCAACCTGTAAAATACATAAAATAACATGCAATGAGGAGAGAGGCTTGCTGGGAGACAGGCAGCGGCTGGGGGTGCTGGAGAAGTCGTCTGGGGGCAGTTTCCCACCTCTGCTTCCTCACCGTGGGGCAAGGCTCTGCCCTGGGATGGCTCCTGCCGGGGGGGCATTTGGGGTTTGCTTTTTCCCATGAAAGCCTCTGCTTTGACTTTCCATGGGGGATCCATCCTTGGACACTTCTGTGCATTTCCCACCTTTGGCTTCACCTCACATCCCGATAAAGTTTTTTTTCTTGCTCCTTAATTTTCCCTGCACCTCTGCTCACCTTTGAACGGGCTGACCTGGACCAAGAACTGCTGAAACACTTTGAGAAACACTCTGAACGTGACAGGACGTTACTCAATCCCTTTGCCCAGGCTGGGCAGCGTGAAGCAGCTCTCTGGCCAGTGTCTTTAGGTTTGGGAGGTGCCAGCAGCTTTTTTGGTGCCCAACACACGGTGTGATGCTGCCCCTTGGCTTTGTCCTGGGGAGACTCAGACAACAACCAAATATGAAATGGGGGTTCTAGGCATAATGACCCCCAGGTATTAATGCGGGAAATTAATGTATTTTGTGAGTTGGTT